GTGGAGGGTGGTCTCCTCACCCTGCCACTGTGCCACCCTGTCCCTGCGCACAAAAGTATCTAGGCTCCCTAGGCATACACACCACACCCAGAGTCACCCCAGCAGTCAGGCTCCGGCAGTGCTGGCAGGCGGCTCCGTCTGTGCCAAACGAAATCAGGGACCACTATGGCTTTCAAGACCAACGTGGCAGAATCAGGATCACCAGAAAGCCCCCTAAACTTAACAACTTACTTCTGGGTCCTCTTCTGGGCAATCTGATTCAACATGGGGTGGGAGTCGACTGGGGCAAGTAACTAACTACAATGTGCATTCTTTTCAAAGATCTATCATTGTTATTTATGGGTGTCTACATACCTATCAGGTTATATATGGTTTATGTCTGGTTTCCTATATGCATCAGATTCCCTGGAACTGGAGTGAGCCACATGGATGTGGGTGCTGGGAAATGAGCTCAAGTCCTCGGCAAGAGCAGCAAGTGCAATTAACTGCTGAGCCATCTCTCTAGCCCCTCAGTGTATATTCCAAAATGCTCCCCTGGAGGGCATTCAAGATGGCTTAGTGAGTAAATGCACCTACCACCAAGCCTGAGGGCCCAAGTTCTGCATAGGAGACCGAATGCAGACACTCCTACCAAGTTGTCCTCTGACTGTGATGTGTGTGTCGCACAAACACGGAATTAAACTGAATTAAAAAACAGAACTCTGGAGACTGCCGGGATGGTCCTCATATCCACAGAGGTGAGCAGCCCTGCTCCAGGAAGGACGGCCTGGTCTGCCTGGTAAGGGATGGGCACTCTAGAGTACCTGGCCTGTTTATTCCCTGGGGAGGGGCTGCGAGGGTTCACGCACCTCCAGTCTCCAAAGGAAACATTAAGCTCTCTAAAGAAAGCCCTCGGCCTGTGTGGACCTCCCTGATGGGTGGAAAGGCCAAGTGTGAAGAGAAATAAGATGGAGGCATAGAGTGGCTGCTTACAAAGGTGTCTGCATGAGGACATCATTGCCTCCAGCTGGGATGGGCCAAGGCGACGCCAAGGGTGTTTATTATGAAAACAGGGGTAGGAGATCTGCTCTAACCACTTCAGAGAAAACAAAAGTCAACCCCGAGAAGACAACGTTTAAGACAGAATACAACATAAAGGGAGAGTGGTTTTCTTCTCTCCATGAAGGCCTCATCTTTACCAGCTTTGACTGCAAGCATCCAGAGAAGGGACCTCTATGGAGTGACAGCATCTCCTAGCCACGGCAGATATGCTCTGAGGGTCTCTCAGCTCCTCCCAGATAGGCCTTTGTTTTAAGCAGGAGCTCCTTCTCATGCTTCAAAAACCTATTTCAGGAGCTAGAGAGATGGATCCGCAGTTAGGGGTGCTTTCTGTTCTCCAAACGGACCTGAGCTCGATTCCCAACATTCACAAGTTGGATTACAACCACCTAGAACTCCATCCAGCTCCAGGGAATGTGACACCCTTTTGGGCCCTAAGGGCACCTGTACACTTCAGCATCCGTCCATCCATCCATAATATAGATAGATAGATAGATAGATAGATAGATAGATAGATAGATAGATAGATTTGATATGTATCTCAATTTATATATATAAATTGATATATATATATATATATATAAGCGTTAAAGGTTTTTCCCAGTTGGTAGCCCCCAGTAAGGTGCAACACAAGTTAGTGAAACTGCCCCAGTCACACAGATGTTCTGGGACCATCAAAGCTTGGGTTTGAAAGCAGGGAAGCCCAGACTGAGGGATTTGGCTCCTCAACTGAAATGTTCATTTTCTCCTTGTGCTTTGGGACCATGCCGGCAAGTCTGTCTCAAGTAATTGATTTGGTAAAGAAAACCCTTCTCCTGAGCTCATCACTACCCATCATCAAAATCCAGGCTAGCACAGCACAGAGGTCTCACACTTCAGTCTCACAGAAATTCAAGCCCCTTCTGACTTCTGCACGCGTGCGCGTGCACACACACACACACACACACACACACACACACACACGCCTCTTGTCAGCCCACTTGGCCCTCTCTCTGCTGTTGGTGCTAGGTGGGTGACCTTCAAAAACACACTTGAATTCCCTGCAAAGCAGGACACTACTAGGGACATTTCAAGTTTAAAACTAAAATGGTGAATTTTTCAATATATATATTTTTAAGCCCAAGACATCTGATTTAGTGTAAGAACAATGTTAACTCCTTTTGGCTTTTGTTGTTGCTGTTTTTGTCTTTACCTGGCGCAGATTTACGAAAATCCAGTGTAAAGCATCTACCTAGTGGCTACAGCAAGATTCCAATGTGCTGGCTGAGTACCGGCATGTACACGCTCAAACTTAATCTTCACTCTCAACACAGGGTGACAGCAGGCTGAGACTGTGCCTGTAGCTACAGGAAGGAGGTCTCAAATATAGCTGTCCGCCATAGTGGGGCTTCTGCTTCCCATACAGTCTAAAGAGGGTTAGTTCTGAAAGAGAACTTTTACCAATAATGGCTGAAACAGACACACACACAAAGATACATACAATTATGCCCACCCCAAATTACAGCCTCCTGTGCTAATAATTTCCAGGAATAAATATACAATTAATTCCCTGTAAATGTAAAGTACCAAGTATGTGGCTCAGTGCTGGACACGAGCTGTAGCAAGAGTCGTGAGGAAAAGAGTCTGTCTGGCGTTTTCAAGGCCCTGGGTTCAATTCCGGCACCACACGCATAAAAACAAAAGTAGAATTTTCTAAAATAATGAATTATAAAACATTTTTAATTTGGTCGAGTTTTTGAAAATTTCAAATAATAGATAAACTTTTTAACTGCTTTTCTTTTTTCCAGACAGCAATAAGTTAGTGTATTTCTTCTTCTTTTGTTTGTTTGTTTGTTTGTTTGAGGCAAGGTTTCTCTTTAGACCAGGCTGGCCTTGAACTCAGAGATCGGCCTGCCTCTGTCTCCTCGTGCTGGGATTAAAAGTGTGCACCACTATGCCAGGCCCAAGTTAGAGTCTTTAAGTGTCCTTATTTTACTAAACTTTTCATTTTTAAAAGATCAAACTTACATAAATTATTACTAATCAGTACACTAAGTATGGCTTTTGTTAATTATACTTTATAAGATCCTACCTAGTCAGGCAGTGGCGGTGCGGGCCTTTGATCCCAGCATTGGGAAGAAATCGACAGGATGTGAGTTTGAGACCAGCCTGGCCTACAGAGTGAGTTCCAGGACAGCCACACTACACAGAGACCCTGTCTGGAAAAATCAAGAAAAAAAAAATCCTACCTAAATTTGTATTTGTAAGCTCTTCACTCAAGATTTAATTGTTTTTGTTTTGTTTTGTTTTGTTTTTAAAGACAGTGTCTCATTTTGCAACACAGGCTGGCTTCATTCCAAATCTAATTACTTATTAATTTTTTTTGGACAGACTCTTGTTTATGTAGTCCATGCTAGCTTTGAACTCAAGATCATCCCGCCTCTGCCTCCTGGGTTCTGACAGGCCTGAACCACACCAGGCTTCCTTCCAAACTGTATTTTCAAACGTTCTTGCTCCTGACGTTGAAGAACACGTGCCTGGATATACCACAAAGGAAGCATACACCTGCTGTGTTCACAAGACTCCTCAGCTGTTTCTGGTAATAAACTTCCCGTATTTTAATACAACGATAACAAGGAAGAATTACGCCATTAAAAATACATTCTCCTTCTCTCCAGTGTGAGTCGATATCTTAAGGCAATGGCTAAGTATGCGAGGCCATGCCGCGGATCTCTAGTTTCCAAACTGTCAGAAAAAGTGTCTTTTTAAGAAAAAAAAAAAAAGAAAAAAGAAAAAAAGTAATAGTCTTCTGATGCTACAGTACACCCTCTAACTGAAAGCAGTTTCAACCAATAATACAAGTTTAGTTTTAAATACGGGGGTTGGGGGGGGGATTTATTTACTTGAGCCTCCTGGGGCACTCTACGCCTAAGATCCAGCAAAGTCAAGATAACCCTGAACCAAGTTCGGAACTTGAGGGCGAAATCCCCAAAGGATTCCCATTCGGCGGCCCGGCAAGCCTGGCCATGAGCCACCGGTACGGGACGCAGAGCGAGGCGCGGGGCGGAGAGGCGGCGGCCGGGCCTGGCCTGGGCCTCGGCCGCTCACCCAGCCGGTCGCCCCTCCCGGGGACCCGGCGCACCGCACCTCCGGCCGTCGGCCCTTCGCCCTCTGAAAGGCACCCGATGCCACCGCGCGGGCCGCACCTCGCTGGCTACCCTCCAGGGCCGGCCCTTCCGAGGTTCCTCCGGGCCCGACGCCTGTCCCGGGCGGATACGGGAAGGGACCATCCCGGCGCAGCAGGGCGCGGGGCGGGGTGACCCGCGTAGCCTTGGCTCGACCGTCGAGGACGGGCGGCTAGCCCGACTCACCTTGGGGCCCTCGGGGGGCACGCGAGGGTCGTTCCACGTCGTCGTGCGGCTGTTGTGGTCCACGAAGAAGGGCCAGCCGGTCTGCGGGTCGATTTTGATCTCCCAGCCCGGGGGCAGGGGGTCTCGGTCGCTGGCTCCGTTGCCAGACGCCATCTGCATCACGGGTGACTGGGTGGCGGCGCTCATGCTGGGTTGGGGTCCGCCCGGGGCGCGGAGCTGGGGCGCAGGTCACGAGGTCGTGGAGTGCGGGCACTTCTGCGTCGCCGATGTGTCCGGGAAGCCGGCGTCGGGCACCTTTATGAATTAAAGGACTAGGTGACGTGGCCGAAGAGGGGTGGAAGTGTCTGGAAATAGCCTCCTCGCCGCCAAAGGGGAAGGAGGAGATAAGGGGAAGGCAGCAACTGGCCGGCTAGAAACTTCTGGTCCCATCCAGAGAACTTGGCGGCCGCCGAGGGTTGGATGCGGAGCTCCGCCCTGAGTCATAGGCTATAATCGCGGCGGGGCGGGACCGTGGGAGGGATCGGAGGCGGGGATTTGCCACCGCCCCTCCTTCTCATCTTTTCCCGGCTGTCCCTCCCTGCAGCTGTCCTGTGTGCAGGCCCCGGACATCCCGGGGCCTGTGCGTCCCGCGGTCAGTGGGCGCGCACGGTGTCCTTGTGCGCCCAGGCTGGTTTTGGTCTCCAAACTCACCGCAATTCCTTCGTGCCGAGTGGAATGTCCCGGGGCTGGCAGTACGAGGGTCGGGCGCATGTTGCACAGCCTCTGTGTAAGGACTAAATCATCTTTAAGTTTCCTACGCCCCCATGCCCAAGTACGATAACACTCGGAGACGCTAGAGCCCTGCAGTGACGTTTTAATAACTTTCTCTCGCGGGCTTTAGGACTTCTCCGGAGTTCTGGAATGCTGATCTGACGTCACAACAAAGTGCTGTGGAAACCCACCTGCCTGCTTAGGAACACGGAAGAACAAAGGAATGAAGTGATGTCTACGCTGTGGCCTGCTCCGGGATAGACACTTTCACACCCTGATTAGCCTTAAGACATAAAACTTAAAACTCTGGGATTTGGAGTGGGTTTGTTGTTTGTTTCTTTTTGTTTTAATGGTAAAGGTGGACTTTGGTTAGGAAAAGAAAGATCAAACCAAACCCTGCAACTTTGTTTAAATGACAACCGACCCCTAATCCCATTGCCCTCTTAGTTCCCAGTGGTTCCAGAGAGAGAGGGAATATTGCCCAATTCAGGGTCTTAGGCCTGCAGACTCATTCCCTTACTTCAGAAACTCGAACTAATAATGAGCCTGATTTCCCAGGTTAGATTCAGAGACTGTGCTGGCACCCCCAAAGATACCATGCATGGCCTCTTTCCCTCAGATTTTTATTCTGTAGCAAATACTAGAGTGTTCTGACTATTTTTAACTTCCAAAGACCTTAGCAAACTTTGAAGTCCCAAAACCTTGGTATGAGTACTAACACGGTACCAACTCAAGGACTGATTCCTGTCACCAAACACACTAATGTGTAAGCCAGAACTGGTTTATCGTACGATTGAAAGGTCTGGACTCTTTAGATTCACTGATCAGTGTCTGTCTTTTGCTTCTTTATACCTGAACCCACCAGTACATGGCTGGGTCCAGAGTCCATCTTCAATAAAGGAATAAAAATGGATGTTTATTGAAGAGTACATACAAAGTGATTTTTTTTTCTTTTGGTGTTTTGAGACAGATTTGTGTGTGTGTGTAGTCCTGGTTGTCCTAGAACTGGCCATGTAGACCAGGCTGAACTTGAACTCACAGAGATCCACCTCCTTGAGTGCTGGGATCAAAGGCATGCGCCACCACCTCCTGGCTGTGGTTTTTTTCTTAGATGGTCACTCTATGTAGCCTTGGCTGTCATTTAACTCAGGCTGTAGACCAGTCTGGCCTCAACCTCAGAGATACACCTGTTTCTGCCTCCCATATACTGAGATTAAAAGTATACACCACCATGCCTAGGTAGGCTACTTCTTCTAAAGAAAGATTTGTTTATTTTACATGCATGAGCCTGCTTGTGTGTATGTACCCTGTTTGTGTGCAGTGCCTGCAAAGTTCCGAAGAGGGTGTTGGATCCCCTGAAACTGAAGTTTCAGATACGGAAGCTGCACCTGGTCCTCTGTAGGAGTAACAAAAGATCTTAACTTCCTGGTCATCTCTTCAGCACCCCACACACACCTTGTCCTTGAACTGCCCTTTTATTCCTACCGTCCAACTGCAACTTCCTAAACATTTCTTGACCCTGGGATTCTTGTCTTTCTTCCGTCCCACCAGCCTACCCAGGTCATCTTGCCCTCTCATCTGGATCCTAATGGCCTCTGATCTTGTCTCTAAGCCTCTTGCCCATACACCCGCCAGAGAGGCCTTTTCAAGAATCCACCAAGCCCACTCTCCTTGGTCTGCTGCGCAGGGGAGTCTTCCTCGCTCTCCCTGGTGCATCCCGCAGCTGACGCTGCTGCACCGTGACTCTCGCACACACTGCTTCCTCCACCAGGGTAGCCCTTCTGTCCACGCCATCATCCCCTTCGGTCACCTGCCCACCTTGGCTTTTCCCAGTATTGCCTTTGGCACCACTCTCCTTCACCCCCCCTCCCACCGCACACACACGTTAACCTCATGACCCATCCACATCCTGTCCCACCCTACTGATTGTTTACATTGTAAATGCTTGTTTGTTTGATGTACTTAATGGGCTGAATTTTTGAGACGAGGAGCAGGATCTTGATCACCACTGTGTCCCTATCCTTCGGCACAGTGTGTGGTAAATAATAATTATTAAAGCAACAACAGCTGTAATGGCTACTGCTCATTGGGCAATCACTGCATCTCAGGTCCCATGTTAATGACTTTACAGGGCTATCACATTTGATCTTTATGGTGGAAGCTCTGATATGCTGCTTGGATCTCCTTCCAGAAATGAGAAGCTGGTTCTACCCTCTGCTGCAAGAAGAGATCAGGATCTGTCCCATTTCTCTGCCAACAGTGCCAAAAGAACACAGGCTTGTTTTCTTGCTTTGAGATAGGGTCTGTGTAGCCCTTCTGTCCTGTAGAGCAGGCTGGCCTCAAACCTGCCGAGGTTGGACTGTCCATGCCTCCTGAGTGACAGGATCAAAGGCATGCACCGCCACGTCCAGTGAGATAGGAACTTTTATTAAAACCTGCATGGATGAGGAAATGGGCTTAGACATTTAGTAATGAGCCCACTACAATGCACACTAATCTTGTCTTGGGGTCTAGACTAAGTGAAGAAAACCACCTTGTCCCAGGTCAGTCTTTCTTCTGAGATAGCCCGCATCCGATGAACTGATCCACCAATGGCCGTTCTACCCAGCCCCTGAACAAAAACAGCTAATGGACCAGCCCAGTTCTTGCAATCTTCTGGATTGGGGTGCTGTTTTCTTCAGAACTGCACCACAGCTCAGCCTGTCTCTCTGTGTTGCTCTTAAGATGATTCTTGACTGACTCCCGATCCATGGCCTTCATGTCACAGTCTCCTTCCTACGGAGCCCAAGTCCGGCCAGACCTGACAGAGATCTTTGATCCCAGATACGTAAGAGGCTGAGGCAGGAGGATCAAAAGCTCAAGACCTGCCAGGGTTACAGAGGGACACAAACTGGAACAGTGCTCCGAGTAGCTCCAAGGCAAGGCAGCACACAATTTCCTTTTCACAGATGAGGCAGCTTGACTTTAGCGTGCAAGGAGCTTTGCCTGATGGAGGTGGGATTGAATTTCAGCAATTGACTGGAGCCCACACTGGCATTCAGTACATAAGGTAAATGAGTCAATGGCACAGTCCCACTAGTCACCAAGGGAGAAAAAATGTAAAAAGCTGTAACTGAGAAGCATAGCTTTATGCACACGATTTTTCTCAAAGCCAAGACAGTGAGCAGCAGGCAGCTACCATGGAAGAATCTAAATCAGCCTATCAGTGATGGCTCCCAGCTGGCCTGACTCATACTTCAGGTCACAGACAAGTGGGCTCAAGCCCAACTATGATTTTTAAATGAAAATGTCACCCAAAAGACTTCAGTGCCTGGATGATTGAATACATTTCTAATGGAACATGAGCTGGCATTGAGAACAGCCAGTTCTCCCGGATCTATGCAGAACATTGATCATTTCAAATGATATTTGTTTGTTTGCCTTTGAGACGCTATCAGAGTCGATGCAGCCAGGCACACCTTCTCCAGCCACGCCCTGCCACGGGCCCTTTCCATAGTGGGCAGCCCAGCAGAGGAAGGCCAGGGCATCTGGAGAATGCATAGGTGGGAGACATAGATTGGGAGAGCCAGACACAGGCAGAAGGTGTGAGGGAAGAGTGGGGAAGTGGAGATGTCCGGTCTGGTTATGCTCTGGAGACTAGGGATAAGTTCTATAAATGCACTCTGGTGGAGGGGGAGGGGAGAAATCAATGCGGTTCAGCTGCAGCATTTCAGACTGCCGCTCTTAACGTTGCATCTGTTTGTCATTAAAAGCCGAAGCCGGTGCGTGCCCCTGCATCACTGCCCTGCACTCTCTGACCTCCTGTGGCAGGTACATCCTGTGACAACCATCTGGCCTTTAATCAGAGATGGTTCTGTTGTGATAGTTCACTCTCTGCATTCTTCCCGTGGCGGGGGGGGGGGGGGGGGGATGACAGGAACCAGGGAATTAGGTGTTCTAACTGTAAATGATGGGGTTTCCTTTGCGGTTTTGTTTTATTTGTACAGATTTTGCTTTGATTTGTTTGAGACAGGGTTTCACTTTGTATCCTTGGCTAGCCTGGAGCCCTCTGTGTAGACCAGGCTAGTCTCAAGTTGATCTACCTGCCTCGGCCTCTTGAGTGCTAAGATTAAAGTCGGTCACTATCACATGAGACTACAATTTATTTTTATGTGAACGTGTGTATGTACTTGTCATGATGGAGGCCAGGAAAGGGCATCCCTGAGGCTGAAGCTATGGGCAGTTGTGAGCCAAAATATGTGGGTGCCAGGGACTGAATTTGGGTCCTCTGAAAAAATCACTCTTAACCAGCGTGTCATCTCTCTCACCCTATTGGGGCAGGCCTTGAAGTCTGGAGGGGACAAAGTAGGCAGGGAGTTACACTGTGGCATGGGATAGTCTCCAGGCAAGCTGGGGTGGCAGAAGAGAACTGGCTGAGCCTGGGGGGGCAGGACGGTGGCGTGGCTGGCATTGGCAGGGAGGTTAAGGCTTATCTAGAGTGTGGCCAGCAGCTCAAGGGCAGGAGGAAGACTGCCCAATTGGCTTTAGCAGACAGCACACCAATGCAGAGTGCAATGTTGTATGCCTAAATTTGGTGGCAGAGCTGGAAAATGGCTTAGTGGTTTAGAGCACTTACTGCTCTTCCAGAGGACCTGAGTTTGGTTCCCAGCACCAACACTGAGGTCTCGCAATCTCTTGTAACTTTGGCCCTAGGCTTCCAATACCCTTTGCTAGTCTCCACAGATAACCCCTCCACAGAGATAAATCTTAAGAAAATAAAACGCACCAGAAAAAGAAGAAAAGCCTTTGACACAACATAGCCCAACCTTAATAATGTTCCTCTCACTCCCATTTTCCAACCTTAATAATGTTGAGGAAGCTGGTCAGTGGTGGCACAAGCCTTTAATCCCAGCACTCAGAAGCAGAGGCAATTGGATATGAGAGTTGAGGCCAGCCTGATTTACAGAGCCAATGCTACACAGAGAAACCCTGTCTCGAAACACAAAAGAGACAAAAAAAAAAAAAAAAAATGTTGAGGAAACACATTAAACAGTGTGTTATTTGCTTTTCTCATTGCTGTAAATACTTTACAAAATCAACTTAAACTTAAGGAAGGGCTTACTGGCTCACAGTTTGAGGGTAACAGTCCCTTACAACGGGAAAGGCATGGCAGCCAGAGTAAGAGGCAGGTCACTGCATCCTCGGGCAGGAGCAGAGGAAGAATGCTAGTACTTGTTCACTTTCCCCTATCCTCAGTCCAGGACCTCTGCCCATGGTGCTCCTCAGGTCCAGAGTGGGCCTCTCCTTCCCAGTCAGTCCTTTCTGGAAACACCCTCATAGATACAACCAGAGGGGTGCTTGAATGGTGACTCTAAACCCAGTGAAGTTGACAATGACCATTAACCTCTCAGACATTGTGCTAAGATTGCCAGGACCCAACTCACTTACCTGCCCAACAGCCGTAAAACGTGTGACTGCTACTGAGTCCATTGGAGGAAGGAGGAGCAGCCGTAGAATACCGAGAGAACTACTGTAACTCATTTGGGGTACGCGCATGAAGAGCAGAAGCTGAGAGCAGATATGTCTGATTCCGTGGCCTGTCCAGGAACAAATGCTCGGCTACCTAAGCTCTTCTCCTTCCTGTGCTTCCTAAGCTCTGCTGGGTAGGATTGTACCCCCCCCACCCAAGTTCATGTCCACCTGCAAATGTGACCATAGCAAGACGAGGATGCACTGAATTAGGACCCTAATCCAATGCCTGGCATCCTTAAAAGAAGAAAGAAATGTGGACACAGAGATGGAGAGACCCATGGGAAGAGCACCACATGATATCAGACTACCAGAATGGCACATTGACAAGCCAGGAGCTCCAAGGTCAGCTGGCAACCATCAGTGACGACACAAGAAGCAAGCAGGATTCTCTCTTAGCACCTTCCAGGTAGGGCAGGGC